GCCCAAGAAGATTTCAGTGGCAATGGAGACCCCGTCTTTCCCAGCCGAGAACGCAGCAATACAAGCCGATGGTTTGCCTCCGGCTGCGGACGATGAAGACGTCTTGCTGAGTGATCTTTTGGCGTCTGCTGGTGGCTCTGGTGATGTGGGTGCTGGGCGTGGACAGGGGCGTGGCAAAGGCCGTGGAAGAGGCTGTGGCGTTGCAAAAGCCAAAGCCAGTGCCAAGAGCACAGCGAAGGCCAAGGCCAAGCCAAGTCCAAAGGCTAGAGCCGCCCCAGTGCCAGACGATGCAGCAAGCGCCAGTAGTTACAAAGCGGGCGAATTCAATGTCAAGCGGGTTGCTTATGTGAAGCAGAAGCGCCAAGAAGGAATGATGGCAGCAGAAGCCCAACAAGCCTGGATGCAAAGTGATGAGAGGCTTGACCTGGTGAGCAGCCTGCCCTTTTCACAGCAGAAGCGCCGCAGGTTTTGCTGACTCTGATACATTCTGACTAAAGGTCAAGGTGTCGCAGACACCATTCTGTTCCAGACTTTCTGCGGGGAGCAGAACGACATGAATGAGAAAAAGCGGCAGCAAAATTTTGTTGTAACACCCCGGGCAAGTCCACTGTGAGAGTGGGGCTTTGGATATGATTGCATTGGCTTTGGATATGTTTGCTTCAAATCTTTGTTGTCTTTCGGAGGCTCCTTCGGCTGCAGTTGCAGGCCAGGTTGGGACCGGGGCAAGTCCACTGTGAGAGTGGGGTTCTGAAGATGATGGCTTGGGAGTTGAACGCAACGTTGTTTGCTCATGTTTGCTCCAAACCTTGGGAAGTTTATCAGTTTATGTTTTGGAATCGTTTTTTGCAGGTGCATTCGTAGGCCCAAGTCCCCCTTGCAACTTTCTTTTTGAATCGCTAGACTGGGGCGGTATGCCATCCGAGTTGCCTTCTGATGATGACCCGGAACAAGATGCGCGTTTTCTAGCTCTCCCTTCTGATGTGGAATCAGATGGGGAACGGGAACTGATGGGCAAGCTGGCTCGACCAAGACGAGGGCATGGAGCTTCCAAGGCAAAGCCCAAGGGTTCGCCCAAGAAGAAGGATTCCACCAAGAGGAAGGAGAAGGCCCTCAAAGCAACTGGCCAGGCCTCGCCCAAGAAGACCGTGCGCAAGACCCCCATCTCAAACCCAAGAAGACCACAGGCAAGGCCCGGAAGAGGAAGGATGATGACTTGCCTCCAGATCGAACACCATGGTATCCAAAACATTTTGGTGAGGCCAAGCATCATGCACACGATGCTGTTTTGGAGGTTTTTTCACCACCTCGATTGGTCCCAGTTGCTACGGAAATGGGCCTCAAGGCGCAGATCAGCTTGGACCTGACCAGCGGATGGGATTGCAACAATGCAATGGACCGGAAGAAGGGCAAAGACTTGATCAGCAAACACAAGCCCCACCTGCTGCTGGTCAGCCCTCCTTGTACGTTCTTTTCCATCATGCATCAAAACTGTTGTGCTGCCAAGATGGACCTAGACAAATTGGAGGCCCAAGGTGTGGAAGCGCGGGGCTTTTTGGACTATAGTATGGACCTTTGTGAGGAGCAGGTGAAAAGGGATCGGAAGTTTCTCTTCGAGCATCCTTCCGGTGCCAGCTCCTGGCAGGAAGAAAGCGTCACAAAGGTAGAGCAGCTTCCTGGCGTGAAGATCTTCTCATTTGCACAATGCCGCTGGGGGCTCAGAGATCCAGCTGGACGGCCGCTCCAGAAATTGACCAAGTTCATGACGAACTCAATGGCAATCATGGAGGAGTTCGCCAATCGGCAATGCATTTGCGATCTTCGTGGTGAAGAACATGCCACTATCCAAGGCACATGCAGAGGGGAGAAGGTTTCCAAATGGGCTCAGGTATACCCTCCGATGATGGTGAAGGCCATTGTCCGATGCATCAAAGAAGAGCTGTGCTGAGATCGCACATCAAAGAAGAGCTGTGCTGAGATCGCACCTGGCAACCATGGAAAAAAGGGCATCGCACCGTAGAAATGTATTAGAAATAGATTAACTTTTCACATTTCAATTATATTTAAATCACATTTCAATTTGATTTCATTATTTCTATTCACATTTCGTTTAAACAGCATTTGAACAGCTTTTCTGATTTCACCCCTTTGGTGTTCCCCAGCCGTGTCCCCTTGTTGTTTACCTGTTGTGGTTCCCCCGTTGTGCCCCTTGACCTGCGGCAGGGGGGCTGGCCACAGCCGAGCAGCGAAGCTCCGGGTGCAGCCGAAGCGCTCAGAGGGTGATCCCCCGTTGTGCCCCGTTGGACCAAATCGATCACCGTGAGATCCAAAGGTTTGACAGGTATACTTTATGTCAATATAATGGTGTCAAAAGACATGTTTATGAGTGTCTGTCACCTGAGAGGCTCTTCATCATTTGCCAGGCTGGAGCGCATGTTGCTTATCCACTGTGAGAGTGGTTCGTATGTAGTGGCAGGGCAGTTGATCCAGACCCAACTTGGCAGTTCCAACATGTTCCCACTCTCCCAATGCGTTGCTGGGCTGGGCCGCTTGGCCCTTCTTTTGTGATGGCCTTGTTGCATTGTGAACATTGTTTTTGTTGTGCTTTCGGTTAGGTCAAAGTGTGCACATGCGTCACATGCATGCTTAGATACAAGCTGTTTCACCATGTGGCTTTGTGGATACAGAAGCATGTGTGCAGACTTGCATCAAACAATATGTCCACACTCATCAGCATGAAGGCATTTATCATTTACCCTTCCTACATGCTAATCTCAAGACAGTGTTGTTTGCAAGAACTTGCGCAATTGAAAGTACAGTGCATCACCTGGTGTCGTCTGGCATTTTTTGGTTGAGTTTATTTGTATTAGGTAGTACGTATGGACACACGGGTGTGAAAGTAGGATAGATTCTCGTTTGTGCATCTGCCTGTGTTTTCTGACAGCAAACATTGTCTGAGAGGCATGCAAATGTGCATGTGCACACACGAATACACATGCCGTTACCAACGCATACCTGTAATCGTTTGCGCAGGCAAATGCACTGCATCCATGGACACCGCAGAAATCGACGGATCAGCTGTCTCCCCAAAAAGCGCCGGATCAACTGTGAAGAGCATATCGACGGATCCAGTAAAATCGCCGGATCTCCAAGGGCCGCTAAAAATCGCCGGATGTCAAAGGGTCTCAAGTGTGAGGTCATCCTCTGCTTCAGTCTGGAGATCTGTTGAAAAAAAAATCGACGGATCTCTTCCAAGGTAGAGCCATCTGAAAGTAACAAGTTCCTTACAAACCATCAGATGTCAGGTTCAAGAAAATCTAAACCAGAGATCTGTTGATTTTTTTTTTTCAACAGATATCAGCTGTACCAAAGCAATCCAACAGATGTCATGTTTGACAAAAATCAAACATGACATCTGTTGGATTGCTTTGGTACAGCTGATATCTGTTGATTTTTTTTTCAACAGATCTCTGGTTTAGATTTTCTTGAACCTGACATCTGATGGTTTTTAAGGAACTTGTTACTTTCAGATGGCTCTACCTTGGAAGAGATCCGTCGATTTTTGTTTTTTCAACAGATCTCCAGACTGAAGCAGAGGATGACCTCACACTTGAGACCCTTTGACATCCGGCGATTTTTAGCGGCCCTTGGAGATCCGGCGATTTTACTGGATCCGTCGATATGCTCTTCACAGTTGATCCGGCGCTTTTTGGGGAGACAGCTGATCCGTCGATTTCTGCGGTATCCATGGATGTATATATTTATTTTTCTGGATTGGGGTTTTTCTTCACCTTCCTACACATTGACATTTGCGCATGTTCTTGTTTGGCCTTGTATTTTTGTCACGTCAGCTTTCGAAGGTGTATGCTGCATGTACAGTATGGTATGTTTTGATTTTTCACTCCAAGACTTTATTCTTTCATGTCAGTGGCCAGGTGTCCTAAGCTGTTGTGGCTGTGTTGACATCAAGGCTGGAATCAGAGGGGGCGACCATGAAGGAAAGAAAGCTATAGTCACGATGATGTGTTGTCTTGTTTTATAGACCATTGGATGTGGAATATTGACCTTGGCCAGGATTCTGTCAATTTCATGTCTGACACCACTGTGAGAGTGGCCATTGCACTGCTTGATTTCACTGCGTCGTGCCTTTCCCACTCAAGCCGGCAAGCTGATTCAGCCAAACCTACCACAGGCTGTCCAGCGCAACTCCCAACATTCATTTTTTGCCCGTGTGCCCAGACTTGCCATCCCCAAGCATGGCGTCCCCGCAAGCTATGGATATGGACCATATGGAGGTCAAGTCTGAGCAGGGTCTTAGCCCAGATGCCTATGTCAAAGAGGAGGCAGCGGGTGCCAAAGAGGAGGAGGAAGACAAAAAGATGGAGATGAAGCAAGAGATGGCAACCACTGAGTGGACCGAGGGTCTGATTCCTGAGGCCACCGACTTGGACCTGCAAAAGAACCTTGTGATCTCAGCGCTGAAGCAGTTGCTGGAGAAGTTTGGATCTGCCCGGGTTTACTTGGAGCAGAGGTACAAGGAGCGTGCAGAAGCCATGCTTTTCTAATAGTATCTCCGCACTTTGTCTGCTCAGAGCCACCCCATGCACAACCTGTTTGACTCCAAGAAGTGGTCAGAGCAGCCATCCAGCACCATGCTCAAGTTGCCCGCCTGGTGTTTTTCGTTTGCAGCGCTTTGCAGCGTGAAGCCAGATACGGATCAAAAGCACACAATGGATCTGGCCGAGCAGATCCTGACCAATGGCTTCGAGTCACAGGCTGACCCGCTGCTGGTTACGCTCCGACCTGATGTGATGAAGGCATGCCCGTGTCAAGTTCAGCCTGCAGACCGTTTGCAGCCCTTTGCAGTTGGGTTCTGCAAGGGCAAGGCAAGGATGCATACCTTGCTGAGCATCTTGAGCATCTTTCATGACAACAACCTGAAGATTGAGGAAGTTGCTAGGCCCACATTTTCACTGTTTAATTTTGATGGTTTTCTTGGTTGACCCACTTGTTCCGATTTGGTATATGTTTCTTTTAACATTGCGCTGTGCTTTATTCAGCTTTGCATTTCTGTCGGGCCAGGTTCACCCAACTCTTTACGAAAGTGTTCAATACATCTTTTGCCAGTATGTGGAGACCCAAACCTTGAAAGACGAATTGCTGATGAACTTCAAGAACTCGATCAAAGGCAGTTTGCGCAAAGCTCCTAGCATCATGTGCTGGGTCCAGGCAGTCCAGAACCTGATGGTTTTTGGCAAGGTGGATGTTCAGGCTCTCATCAAAAAATTCAACTCGCAAAACCCTTCAAACTTTCAGTTAACGGGTTCGAAAGCTCAAGCAGTCCGGGCCTTGCTGGAGGATTTCCCCGTTGAAGCTTTGAAGTGTGTGCAGGAGCACGTGCAGCTGGTTGGATGGCAGAGCTGCGCGTTTACCGATGATGCTTTGTCGTCGAAAAAACTGCTACCTGGACACACCTTCCGCAATGTCAGCGGGTCAAAAACATGGACGGCCTTGGGAAGAGTGACGGTGGGGTCGGCAACTTTGGCAGTTCAACATGCTGTGAAAAAGTTTGGGGCCACCAGCCCAGAATCCAGGCGGAAGTTTACCCGCTCAGATTTGGAGCAGTTTGCTCAGCAGGCAGCCTTTGTGATCAACATGGCAGGCCATGCAAAGCAAGAAGTGCCATTGGATGATGGCGAGATCGAGAAGAATTGGGTGACCGCTTGGATGCGGTGTGACCAATCTGTGATGTTGGAGGTTCAAATGCATTTGTCTCAGAAGGATGCCTCGCTTGAACCACGAGGTGTCAAGCAACTTGCGGAGCTGAATCTTGGTTGCGTTAAATCAGCCACTGTGAGAGTGGAAGCTTGATCAACACATGTCAAGGAAACTGCGTTTTTTGCTGCTGTGAGAGTGGCCACTGTGAGCCACTGTGAGAGTGGTAGATTGATCATTTATCAGGTTCACAGTCTTGTGTTTAGCATGTTCAGTCTGTTTTTCTTACACTTCGAGCTGAGGATGGATGCCCATGCCAACTCTGTGCCGGTGCAGGGGGCCAAAGCAATGAAGATCGGCGAGCTTGAGGAAGACACTTGGAAACTGGTGAAGAATCGACTTGAGTATGACTGGCAGGCTATCCGAGTCTATCGGATTCGCTTGACCAGCTTTGAAGGGACTTTGTATCAGCAAAAGCTTGCGCACCGGATGAAAGCTTGGGAAAACAGCCATGGTGCTGCAGGGGCATTCTTGAACAGGAATGTCAAGATCCTGTGCTCCACGCAGCAGTCCGATGAGAACTTGAGGCGCTTCGCTGACTTCAAGTCCGAGTTTTGCAAGGCCTATGGACTCCAGCAAGACAAGCTGGTGACTGTGGTGATGCTCAATTGGGCAGCTGTGTGCAGAATCCGAGACGCTTTGCGAAATTGCCAGGCAAACATGGCTAGTGTGATCTTGAACCAGAGCTGTTCGGCTATGGCTGTGGCTATCATGCCAGAATTCAGCTACAAACGTGGTCAGAGCTGGAGAGCTGAGATGTCCTGTCTGGAGGCCTTGAGCAATGGTGGGCTCTTTATCGACCGGAGTTTGGCAATCCAGTTCGAAGCGCACAAAGACACCCGTGACACACGTCCCTTGGTGTACAAGGCCCGAATTGCTATGGGCCAAAGTTTCAGGGAGAAGGACTGGGTGTTCGCTGCATGCCCATTGGTGAAGGAAGGCCGCACACCCCCCATTGAGCAGCTTGCAACAGCTGACATGAAGGTGGTGGAAGACTGTGCTGATGGTGCACTGCCGCACACCACAGATGCCGATGGGACTGTGGCAGGAGCGAAGAAGTTCGAGCAGCTGGGGAAGGCCACCTACACTTGTCTCATCGAGAACAGTTTGGAAGGAGTGGAGGTAGACCCCAATGGCGGCATCATTCTGGTTGATCTCAACATGTCACCTGGT